GAGGAACAAGGTCTGCGTGCTTCTCCCAAAGTATTAAAACCCCAAATTTCCTTTAAGTCCATATCTTTCATTTAAAGTTTGGTAACAAAGTGCTCTCTCTGCCAGCAAGAATAGAAGGCTATATGCAGTCTGATACTTCAGTGTAAGAAGTAAAAGGGAAGGGGGATACAGTGTATTTGCTCACATTTTTTTTCAAAACTAACAATGGGGAGATACACTAAAAGCTATAAAATTGGTTACCTAGAGAAATGGGTGGAATACAGTAGATAAAGAGGCTGGAAAGGAAGCAGTACTTCCCTGAATACTCCTCATTTATTGCTTTGATTTTGCCATCATGTAATGTTAAAAATAATTGAAAAAGCATAATTATAGCAAAGAAAGAAAAGATGACCATCAACACAAATAATTATTATTTTAAATAACAAAAAAGTATTATTTTAATGAAAATATCAGGTAGGATATACACATCTTAAAAGCAAAAAGAACTGAGTAATTTTCTTAAACTGCTTTCCATAGTTCTATGGTTAGTAGTCCTCTTGTATAGTTATTTCAAAACCATTATATAGGTATTGTAGGATGAAACTAATAACCAATTAGTTAATGTCTGTAGGAATCAAGATTCATTAAAAGTGGGTCAAGCAGACCATGGGTACCTCCTGATACAATGCACTAGAAGGAACCCAACATCTGCTCTGCAGTATTCTTGTTACCAGAGAACAAAAGGAAAAGCAATCCTGAATATCAAGTTTGTAGATCTACCTGCACACTTGCAGGAAATACAAGAAACAGAACAAATGAAAGGAATTAAAGGAAATGGAATGTGGGACCTTTTATATGACAGGTGATCTGTTTTCTTCAATAAATTAGTGGCAAGGGAAAAAAAGAAGAAAGAACTATTGCAGATTACTAGAGATATTAGATATTAATATGTAACAAGTAACAAGTATAATATGTGGACCCTGTATGGATTTCAACTTAACAGAGCCATATGTAAAAAGGCATTTTTGAGGCAATTTGGAAAACCCAAATATGGACTGATTATGGAGTCTATATATATATATATATCTGAATGTAGCCAGCACTAGATGATATTCAGGGGTTATTGCTCATTACATTGTGTTTCATAGACAATTGCACTGTGCTTTGTTCTCTGTCAGGGCTTTGCAGGTGGTGCAGTCATAAAGAATCTGCTTGCCAGTGCAGGAGATGTGGATTCCATCCCTGGGTAGGGAAGATCCCCTTGAGTTGTTGTTGTTGTTCAGTTGTTCAGTGGTGTCCCATCCGCTGGAGTAGGAAATGGCAATCCACTCTGGTATTCTTGCCTGTGAAATCCCAACGACAGAAGAGTCTGGTGGGCTCCAGCCCATTGGGTTGGACATGACTCAGTGACTGAGTACAATATTCTCTAAAAATGCCATTTCTTATTAAAGATGCACAGTGAAGTATTTACCAGTAATACAACTCCTGGGATTTACTTTCTAATACTCTAGACCAAAGGTGGAGAGGAGAATAATTAAGAAAACTGGCAAAATATTGATTATTGTTTAAGCTGAATGAGGGAGATTTATATACTCTCACTTTTGAGTTATGTGTAAGTTTTTTTCTATAATAAAAATGTTTTAATGCTATAAATGCCTTTTCTTCTTGTAATTAGTAGGCCCATCTAGAGATTTCATTTCCTAAGAAATGAGAATCAAGTCTGTGAAGTTATTTTTCCTTCTTAACAATAGACAATTCTTTCATCTTGGAACACATAGTTAAACTGTGTATCTACTGTTATGAGAACAATTTATCTTTTTATGATTGTTTGGCTTATGGTTTCTTGTATTCATTCTTCTCTTGATAAAGAATAACAAACAAATGTTTATTATTAAAATGGGCATGTAAACAGGCTGTCCTTGTTGTGTAGGGCTGGGTAGTGTGAAGCCATGATAAATGACTGCACCATAAAAAAGTGCTGAAACCATGCAAAGCACTCTTAATTATCAATGAGGAAAACTGCGATTGTTTGTGGTCTGTAAAACATTTTTATCAAAACATTAAAATCTCTCTGACTAGCAGAGAAAGAAGGAATGAAGGGGGAACAAAACTAATGTTTATTTGGTGTACTATAATTTAAAATGCCTTGGGATTGTTTAGTCGTTAAGTTGTGGCTGACTCTTTTGTGACCTCATGGACTGTAGCCTGCCAGGCTTCTCCGGCCATGGAATTTTCAGGCAAGAATACTGGAGTGGGTTGCCATTTCCTTCTCCAGGGGATCTTCCCAACCCAGGGATCAAACTTCAGTCTCCTGTATGCATCTTTTGCATTCCAGGCAGATTCATAACCACTGAGCCACCAGGGAAGCAATCATTGCATATGGTGACTACAGCCATGAAATTAAAAGATGCTTGCTCCTTGAAAAGAAACCTACAACAAACCTAGACAATGTGTTAAAAAGAAGAGACATCATTTTACTAACAAAGGTCTGTGTAGTCAAAGCTCTGCTTTTTCCAGTAGTCACGTAGGGATGTGCGAGTTAGACCATAAAGAAGGCTGAGCACCAAAGAATTGATGCTTGTGAATTGTGGGACTGGAGAAGACTGCTGAGAGTCCCTTGGGCTGCAAGGAGATCAAACCAGTCAATCCTAAAGGAAATCAACCCTGAATATTCATGGGAAGGACTGATGCTGAAGCTGAAGCTCCAATACTTTGGCCACCTGGTGTGAAGAGACAATTCATTGGAAAAGACCCTGATGCTGGGAAAGATTGGAGGCAAAAGGAGAAGAGGATGGTGGAGGATGAGATGGTTAATAGTATCACCAACTCAAGGGACATAAATCTGAGCAAACTCCAGGAGATAGTGAAGTACAAGAGAGCCTGGTATGCTACAGTCCATGGGGTTGCAAAGAGTCAAACACAATTTAGCAACTGAACAACACAGATTTATCGTTTGCAAAGTTACATCTAGTTTCTGTTTTTTCTGACTTATGAAGTGGGCATTCTTTCTATGCCTTGGTAATTGTCATATCCCATGCTAAATCTGGATCCACTGCTAATATTTTGTACTTTTAATGTCATGAAATATCTCTGAGAATTTCAAGTGAAACTTAAGATTTGAAGTAGCTACAGTGTGTCTTAGAATTCTGTGCAAACTTTTAAAGATTCTCTATAGGCTTCTAGCTGGACATTGGACACAATCTGATTGTGTTTTATGAGGTCAGTTTCAAAATATTGACAATGTTTACCCTTCTAGATCAGTGGTTTTTAATAATTTTAGTATCTTACAGCAGTGGTTTTCAAGCTTTTTTCATGTGACATTATTCTCAATGGACTATCTAGAGGATAAGCGGTAAGGAGGAAAGGACCAAGAATGCCATCCCCTGGATCTTCCCTCTCCAGCTCCTGAGGTTGCCCCAAAACACCTCCAAGAACACACTTTGCAGATGTCTGTACTCCATAGTGGATCAAAATCCTGTGCTGGATAAAGTCATTGAGACTCACATATCATGATGCAGATCATCTATGATCAAACAAATGGGTTCTTCCCAGTGTATTGGTGCCTCAGAATCATCCCAGGCTTGACAGAAATATCCCATCCCTCTATTTAGTCTCTCTGTTGCAGACACTAGTCAGGATCCAATGTTACTCTCTACCCATCCTTCTTCTTCTTTTTTTTTTAAACAAGCTTTTAAATTTATTTCTTTTCCCTGGTGGCTCAGTGGTAAAGAATACACCCGCAATGTAGGAGATGCAAGAGACACGGGTTCAATCCCTGGGTGGGAAAGATCCTCTAGAGAAGGGAATGGCAACCCACTCCAGTATTCTTGCCTGGAGAATTCCATGGACAGAGGAGCCTGGCAGGCTACAGTCCATGATGCAAGGAGTTGGACACGACTGAGGAACAAACACTTTGTTTTTGGCTGTGCTGGGTCTATGCTGCTCGGGCGTTTCTCTAGTTGCAGCGAGCAGGGGCTACTCTGCATTGCACAGGCTTCTTGCAGCAGTGGCTTCTTTTGTTGCAGAGCACAGGCTCGAGGGCACTGAGCTTCAAGAGTTGCAGCACGTGGGCTCCATAGTTGTGGTTCCCCAGCTCTAGAGCACAGGCTCAGTAGTGGTGGCCAATAGGCTGCATCGCTCTGAGGCATGTGGGATCTTCCTGGATCAGGGATCACACTTGAGGCTCTTGCGTTGGTGGGCAGATTCTTTACCACTGAGCCAACAGGGAAGCCCCTCCACGCATCCTTCTAAATGACTCTTCATTTCATTCCTAGCGCTCAGCACTCGCTGTGACCATAACTTTGATTCCACTTTTCAATGCCTGGCTTCACCAGCAACTAGCCCTGCCTATGCTCACCGAGACACTGGTGAGGGATCTAGAGATATCACACATCTAATTCATGTTGCTGTTTCTCTCCCCGCATGCCTTTTGTTATTTTAGCTTCTCTCAGTTACACAATCCGTTCTAAAAGTCTCCATATCCTACAGTACTTCCTTGCCCTCTTTACAGGGTCAAAACCAACTGTTGGAGCTGGTTCTCTCATTAAGTTGGTCTCGCTTTTAAGTTAGGTCTTATTAATGTTTCAGCCATATCTTTGTAGCATAATTCCTGGACAGACAGCAAAGAAAATGGAGGAGGATGGAATACAGACGAAGTAGATAAGAACGGAAAGAAACTATTCTCCTTTAAAGCTTTCCATAATACTATTTTTTTTTTACCATTGTAAAGATGCAAGAGAGGGGCAGAAGGAAAAAGGGGGAAATTTAATGGGAAGATTTTATCAGAAAGATGAATAATAACTGCCTATCCAAATGCTTCTTGGAAATTTGGGGAGGTTACTATGAGTGTTGCTTTGTGTGTGTGTCTGTATATATGTATGAAATGTTCCTTCATTTTCCTAAGTGTCCTCAATTTCAGAAACAATTTGACCTCATACCTCTCATGAAATCTAAAATCTATTTGAGAGCTCCCATCCAAACTTAAGACATATAATGTAGAATGTTTGGTGAATAATACTTACCAGCTGATCATCCAGTCCAAAAAGTTGTTCCAGGTAAGTTTCAGACAGTCTCCGAATTTTTGGTTTCATTAATGGATCAATGCACATATCCCTTTAATAAAATCATAAGATGTAGTCAAAAAATCATTTCATTTCATAATTGTTAATTCCATAATTAAATCTGTGATTTTAAAGAGTGGAGGGGAAGGGAAGGAAAAACAGCTCCCCTTGGGAGAAACATGTCAGAATCACCTGGAGAACTTTTTCAAATTACTCCCCCTCACAATCCTGCTGAGCTCCCCAAGAAGGGATGCCTCTGTGCTCATCCTCAAGTTGAAATAAACTGCTCTATGAGCACACATTCTTAATAACAATGTGCTATGTTTCTGATTTAGGAACCAGTGGAGAAATTATTACTTTTGAAGTTTAGGGGACTTAAAAGCCCATGCAAAGATTCTTTAATAATCTTAAGATTGAAAACATTCATTCGCAACATGTCTTTGGATACTATACAATGAGTGTTTTATCTTCAAAATAAAATATCTCCCTACCATTAATCAAAACATTACTCACCAGAGTAGAGTTTCAAGACCGTTTTCCATTATTCCAATGATCATTTCCTCTAAATACCTCAGAGGATCCTCAGGACATGTAACAAGTAGACCACATAACAGAGCCTGGGGAAATGAAGTAGAATCAGTGTGTCTGGATATGCATGTTCTTCCTAAGCAACAGATAGACTTTCTGTTCAGTCAATTACAAAGTCAAATAATGTGACAGTTTTTTAAGTAAATGTGCCTTATCAATACCCCCTCTATATTTATTCAGTGCTACCAAATGACCAGAACAAAATGCAGTTTACCTTTACTCTTTAAAAAAATACATTGTAAATGGCAACAGAGTCATTGCACAGAATTTTGCATTACTTGAGAAGTACTTTACAGTCCAATTTAAAGTTCTACCAACTTTAAATATGAGGAACCCTTTTTTATTGACGTATAGTTGATTTACAATGTTATGTTAGTTTCTGGTGTACAGAAAAATGCTATGTATGTATATATATATACATACGCTGTGCTATGCTTAGTCGCTCAGTCATGTCCAGCTCTTTGCAACCCCATGGACTGTAGCCCACCAGGCTTCGCTGTCCATGGGGATTCTCCAGGCACCAATACTGGAGTGGGTTGCCATGCCCTCCTTCAGGCGATCTTCCCAACCCAGGGATCGAACCCTGGTCTCCCACGTTGCAGGCAGACACACACACACACACACACACACACACACATGTATATGGGCTTCCCCGGTGACTCAGTGGTAAAGAAACCACCTGCAATGCCGTAGATGCAGGAGACATCATGAGTTCAGTCCCTGGGTGGGGAAAATCTCCTGGAGGAGGGCATGGTAACCCACTCCAGTATTTTTGTCTGGAGAATCCCATGGACAGAAGAGCCTGGCAGCCTACAGTCTATAGGGTCGCACAGAGTTAGACATGACTGAAATGACTTAGCAATCACACATGCATATATCCATATATATATAATTTTTCATTATGGTTTATTATAGGATATTGAGTATAATTCCTTGTGCTGTACATTAGGACCTTGTTGTTTATCCACATTATATATAGTAGTTTGTATCTGATAATCCCAAACTCCTAATTTGTCTCTCTCCACTTTTCCTTTTTCCTCTGGTAACTGTTTTCTATGACTGTGAGTCTGTTTCTACTTTGTAAATAAGTTCATTTGTATCACATTTTAGATTTCACATGTAAGTGATACCATATGGCATTTGTATTTCTCTTTCTGGTTTACTTCAGTTAGTATGATAATATCCAGGTCCATCCATGTTGCTGCAAATGGCATTATTTCCTTCTTTTTTATGACCAAGTAGCTTTCCATTGGTTGTATATACTGCATTTTCCTTATTCATTTATCTGTTGGTGGACACTGGGGCTCCTTCCATGTCTTGGCTATGAGGAACTCCTTTTTAAAGTCAAAAATTCCTCAGACTCAACCATGAAAATGACCGAGAAAATCCAACATCAAAATCAAAATCTACTGTGAATTCAAAAATTCTTTTAAAAATGCTTTCAAATTTTATCATTCACAATATTTGCAGGGTTATATTTGAAAAACTGTAGCACAGTTCATATACTTGAAAAACAAATGACTTATTGGATTATATCTAAGATACTCCTTAAGGCACATATATGGAACATCAGAAAGCTGCTGCCTTCTTATTTTCTTCTATGAATTCCTCCCCAAAGAAGAAACTTCTTATTGAAGTATTGGTGAGACATATATTGAATATCTCTCCATTTGAGACAGAGGAAAAGGATTTGCAGCACCCATCTCACAGAAACCACCTGGAATCCTTAGACATTTCTCTTTGCCTCTTGGTTCACTGGTGGGTCTCCTGGGTGTGTGTGTGTGTGTGTATAGTGACGGAGGCACTCCCTTTGGCCCCTATTCCACATAAGACCTGCTCTTGCTGGATTTTTTCTTGCTCTTATCTCTTATGAACAAAATAATTCCACCTTCAAGTCATGCAGAGTTCTTCCCACCTCCATGGGCCAAGTCAACAGATGCAGGCCTGGGGTCCTGTATTAGATCCTTCAAATAAGAAGAGGATCATCTCTCTTGATTGAACCCGCACAACACATTTTCCTCCTTTCAGTAACTCCATGTCCCTCTCTTAATGCGCAGTCTGCAAGTTGGGAACCTAGCCTTTAGGACTGTGGTAAGACCTCCATGTCTCTCCCTCCTCACCTCTGCCTTCTGACCTAGTCCCACCCCAGGTGCTTACAGTGAACACTCAGCCATCTGCAGACTAATTTCCTTCTCCCTCAAACCTAAAGAATATTGTGACAGAGGAGATCAGTATTTTCACCAAAGTTGGCAAGCTGGATTTGAATAGCCTTCTATTGAAGTTGTTACCTGGAGGCTAGACTTCAGAGGCTGGCAGGCTACAGTCCATGAGGGTGCAAAAGAATCAGACACGACTTAGCAACTAAACAACAACAATAACAGGAATTCAGCCAGCTCCCTAAATAGCCCTGATGAAAAGCCCATCTGCATTCTAGCACTTCTGTGCCTTGATCACTAGAGTACTAAGCTCCTCCACTCCCTGCTCCACATCCTCCCCTTCATCCTGGTCTGGTACCCAGAGGACATCTGCATCAGCATAACCTGGGAAGTGACCCAGTCTCAGAGGATGAGACATAGGAACCTGCATTTTGATTAGCTCCCCAGGTGATTCTTATCACGGTAAAGTCTAAGAACTAGTGCCTTACTGGAGATCACCTTTAAAATAAATTATTAAGGAAACTGACATCTGATTAATGAATATAAGAAGTTGCTTATTTCTTTATATTTCCAAGCTCCACAGATCAGAAAACTACTTTTCCTGAAAAGTTATCCTGCAGAAATCAAATCAAGTTGAAAGGGTAAGTCTCTGGATTGCTAGTAAAGTCATGTAGAACTAACATACTTCAAGTGTTCACTTTTTACATAAGAAATCTCATTGTTCATAGTTTCCCATTGGGCAAAATAAAAATCTGAGGTTTGACATATTAATGTGTGAATAGTGCATAGCTCCATATAAATAAGAAAGTGTATTTCTTATGCTTATCTGTTAGTAAATCAACAGATTTTTTTTCTGCTCCGTGAAAATAAAAACTGTAAAACCATTAACTTGGTTTTTATAAGCAGAGACAAAATATGCAAACATGCCCACAAGATGAATTTTCAGAGTTTGATTCTGAAAAACAGTGAGTAGGGCTTTATTATTGCTAGTCTTCTTAGTAAAAATGTATATGGTCAAGGACAAAAGAACACCATGACTTAGTTATATTCTTCAGGTTTATACATTCACAAAGCAATTGTGCAGCCCCCCACTTTCTTTTGGCTCTGCTTCCCTAATCTCGGTCCAGAATATTTCCCAGATATTCTGAAAAATGTCTGGGTATTGAGGACAAATGGGAGTTTATCCAGGACAATTGTTTCTACTCTTTTGCACTACTACCCATCTTTCAAGAAGCAAGATAATGCAATGAATGGAGTCCACTGGAGTCCAACTCTGACATCTGTAATTTTCTAGTATGTAACCTCTGACAAGTTACTTCTCTTGTTCTTCTGTTTCCTTAACTATACATGGGATAATAAAAGTATGTATGTTATAGGGCTATCCTGATAATTAAATGAATTCATGTATGTAAAGAACTTTAACTTGTTTCGTAGCACAAAATAAGTACTCAATAGATAAAAATGATAGTAAGCCATCATCATTTTTAAACCATTTCACTGCTAATTATCACTTCCATTAGAGAAAAAAGATTGGACAAAGAGAAAAGAAATTTTAAAACATTCCCTCATACCATTCAAAGGCCAATGTAATGACAGAGGTAGAGAGACTGACTTTATACCAAGTCTACTAGAAGAAATTAAGACCAATGCATTTGGTGGGAAATGGTTAGGAGAGAGAAATTTATAGTTTAAACAGCAAGATTGTAACTGTCTATTAGAACTAATGGGTAGATGTAAGACACTTGAGAGAACAAATCTTGTTTATCTTTTCAGATACTCAGATAAACATAGTAAAAAAAAAATGCTAAGGGCCTAAGTAGCAATATAAAAGATAATTTCTTCTTGAGAAGAAAATGACTGCCAAATGCTTGTGGGACACTCAGAAGTTGGAGAAACTTTCAAGTGGTAAGGAAATGGTAAGGGTCTTTCTCTTGGCAAGAGCAGAGCCTCAGGAGTACAGACCAGTTTGGCTGGAGTGAAGGATAAGTGTGAGAGATGAAGAGTCACTCTGTGAAGACACTAGAATTCCATACTGGGACCCAGGACTGGTTCCTCCTCTACACCCATTAGGTTATTCATGATCAAAACCATGCAAGATCATTCATGTGGCCAAAGTCACAGATGGCCATATGTCAGAGAGTCACAGTTCAGTGTGTTTCTAAAATCTCTCTAGGGATGACCTTGACTTTTAGCGGGTACATTCTTACTTCTGGATTTCACAGATGAGGCAAAGAAGGGCCAAGTGATTCACTGAGCCAGCGTATTTTTAAACTACAAATCCAGGACTCCTCCCTTGTGCATAGTATGCACTGAAACAAAATTGTGTTGCGTGTGTATCTTCCTCCAGAACTTGAGGATTTTTTTTCACATTATCTATCAAAAAAAATTTTATTCATATGCAAATGCAAAAACACATTCTTCTTTCAAATAGGTCATAATCAACATATAGTTTACACCTTGTTGCTGGGTTTTTTTTTCTTTCTTTTTTTCAGATGAGATTGCTTTTAAAATTGCAATGTCAGCATCACATACAGAAACCCCTTTACTTAGGAAGTGGCCTAAGTTCCTAAGCCCTGTTCAAAGTCCCTTCTACCTCCCTACGCTCCAACCTCCAAAACAAGTCCAAAGTGGCATCTCAGAAATGTTCACCATCCCCATCTGTGGTAGAGATGGTGTTGGCATGTGTTTCCATGGATGTCACAGTTAAAAATGTGAAAGTAAAGGGAGTTCTGTGTCTTGTAGACATTTAAGTAGAGGGTGCCAAATTTTTATTTTAGATACTCTATAGCTAAAAACATATTGAAGATTATTGAAAGGGACCAACTGGCTTTAACCGTTAAGGAGGGACCCCAGGGACAGGAAGATGCCTCTCG